CACACAAATCTCATCCCAAATCAACTAAGATCAGCCCAAAACACACAAATCTCATTCCAAATCAACTAAACTACCTTAGTTGCACCTCTTGGTTGATTAGAACCAAAAAATAATTTTAGCTGACAGTGCCAGGTATAGCCGATCGAAAAATCTATACGTATTTTCCCAAAAATATTTAAAAATTAGTAACCCTTACCATGTAAACTCGAACCAAGAAAAGAAACACACCAGAGAGAAGCCCATGAGAAGTCGATCATTATGGTAGGATCCACGGTTGGAGACTGATGATGTTATCATGACGTTATCGTCAGCGATGATGATGTCAGTGGCTGTTTCACGTCGGGTTCACCAGTTCTATTTCCAGATTTCAATCAAGAATTATTATTTAGGTCTAGGGATCTTAGCTTTGATACCATGTTAATGAAAGAGGAAAAATATGTTTATTGACAGTCATCAATCTGTATTACAGACGCATAACACAAATACACAATGTAGGCCCTTATATATTAGGGCAACCAAAATAATGTAAACTAACTAAACTACCCATAATATAAATACTCTTAACACAAAAAACCAACATTAAACTAAATTTCAAAATTAAGTCAAAAGTCCATTCAACCAAAAAACAAAAGATAAAAAAACTAGCATTGACCTAAGTTCAAAGAGTATAAAATCAGGAAAATTAACCAAATGGAACCAAATTTTTTTAGCCAATTGAATCAAATCACTCTCATTCAACTACCTAAATAAATCAACCGAAATGAACTAAAATTCAACGACATTGAATCAACCAATCAACTTGTTACTGCTTCGATTCAATCAAAAAAATCAGCCATATTGATCTACAAATCAAAATTTTTAAAAAATAGGAAAAACCCAACTGGACTAAAAGTGCTCAATTGATCTTCTTGTAGCTGTGAGCACAATTGCTTTAAATTCTTTGCCACTGCGATTTCTCGGATGCTCTAGCATTCTCACACTGCAATTCAACAGTTGAGTTGGCTATATTGCTAGCTAGGCAGTCCATCGAACAGTTAAGAAGCAACACTGCAATAGCAGAGATGAAATACGGGTTCTCCATCTATAAGTAGGAAAGTTAGATTAGCATATGACAAATCTAACAAAAATCAAACCCGAATACTTGAAGGGGAACATTTTACGTACCTAAAAAGATTGATTGCCGAGCTGGAAATCTTCATCCTCTTCACAGACAAAATCAAGGTATCTACTTGAAAGACCAATAAAAATTTGTATTCAAAATAGGCATATCAACCATGTGTTCAACTCATAAAAAAAAGAGGAGCAAATCGGAGTTTAAATAATTATATTTCATGGGCAACTCCATTGTTAAAAAACTGCATATAATTTCTAAAGGAATAGAAGGGGTGGTTGTGGGTTGAGGTGCATGGGTTTACGATGGAGAGAGAGGGGCTATGGGTTGGGGTTGTTGGGTGAGAGAAAGAAATACATGGATGACGCGTGCCGATGTCATCGGATCGATGATTGTTCATGGCGTCATGGCTGTAGATGGACGTCAAGTAGTTGTCAGTATCCAGGAGGGGTTAAATAAGGGTTTGGGGCAGTGGCCGGAGGATGATTGCTGGCCCTAGAGAGAGAGAGAGAGAGAGAGAGAAATAAGGGGTGTTGTGTGTTGTGCATGTGGGCGGGTGTGTGCACTGAGTAGGTGTGTAGAGAGTAAAAGGAGATAAAGAGGAGTTGTGGTAGTGGCGGTGGTGGTGGTGGCTATAGGGAGGTGAGTGCGATTTTTGGGGCATTTGGTTGAACACCTTTGGGGCATCTTGTGTGTGTGCGAGTGGTGATTGTTGCAGAGATGAAGGTGATGGTGAGTGCGAGTTGTGGGTGTGTGTGCACTGTGTATGCATGATGTGGTGATGGAGAGAGAGGGGGAAGAAGGGAGCAGAAGGAGATACCTGGGGGGTAAGGCTGTGGGGTGAGACAGACAGTGGAAGAAGTTGGGGTAGATATGTGGGATGGATGGGGCAGACAGTGGTTGGGGGGACATACGAAGTTGCATTGCTGGTGCTGTTCGATGGTGTTGCTGACAGTGAGAGGAGAGACAGGGAGAGAGAGAAAAACAGAGAGAGGGGGTGCTGCTGGATAGAGAAGAGAGATAGGGAAAGAGAGAGAAGAGAGTGGAGGAGGGGGAGGAAGGAGAGATTGAGGGCATGATAGAGGGAGTGATTGAGGGGATTCAAAAACTGAAATTTCTTTGACGGGATTAAATTTTTTGGGTATTAATCTAGTGTGTGGATCAACAATTCTTAAATAATCTGATAGCTTGTTATATGTTGAGGTAACGTCGTCCTTCGAATGACTTTTTATTCCCCCCCCCCAAAAAAAAACACACACACACATGCACGTACATAAGGTGCTGTCATCGGAATTTAAGTACACAATCATCAGCTTCGTCGGGGATTAATAAATTCTTCATTTTGGAGTTCTCCCAGGGCTGCGTAACTTATGAGGGGTTGTCTTTTGGGTAATATAAAGATAGAGTAAGCCATTGAACCAAATTATAATGCTGTTAAACTTTCCAGCGTCACTTTATCTTTCAGTTCTGGATTCAAAATATCTTTGAGAACATTGACTCTTCAGAGGCGTGCCATTTCTACATGTCATTGTCACTGGGATATCTAGGCTTGTCTGATTAGTGTCCGTAGGTAAATGCTCACAAGAGATGTCATTTCAGCAAATTGAAATAAACTTTTGAAAATATATTAAATCCTGTTTGTAACCAAGCATAAGCTGTGAAATTGGCAAAATGATGTCCAGGTGTTAGTTACTTTTTTCTTGACATTCTAAATGACTTGTTGTTGATCTCTTTTCTTGCTTTTATCCTATAAATCAAGGTATTTTTATATTTACAGATGCCTAAAAGTCCACAACCAGTGTACAAACAAAGTGAATCATTGTATATCTCCTATAAATTGCAATGAAATTCCAAGTATTTTTTATTTTCATTGAATTCTTCTTTTTCTCGGAAGAAATGGAAGACTAGCTAAAACTTTTCTAACTCTTCTCTTATCCTGCCAAAAGTTTAAATGACTTCAAGGAATTTGCGGATGCAATTGATTCAATTAAAGACAAGGGCGTTGTGGTTGCTGTGGCATCTCCAGATGATGTTGATGCTGCAAACAAGGAGATGTCTAAGTTCTTTGAAGTGAAGAAGGCCCTCTGAGATCTCCCAAAGAATTCCAACAACCAATTTTGTGGTATTCTATTTCATCTCAAAGTACTGTCTAATTTTTTTTGGTATCAATTATTGATTGACACGATATCAATTTAGATTACAGAGCAGCAGCTTTGCAGTGTCAAACGTGCACTCATGTTGGGGTGTAAAGAAATGTATGTTTTAAGATATATATGTAAACTAAACATTTCCCCACCCACCCCAACTTTCAGGGGAAGAAAATTATGCCCTTAAGATGTGATTTGGCTTAAATTGATTGTTTTTCAGTATATATGATTTCTGGTGGTGGCCGCTCATACATTACTTTGAATTTGGCAGTGCCCTCTTGTAATTCTGTGTCATTACAAGTTGCATTCTAGTGTTTTTTTTTTTTTTTTGTTTGGGTGGGGGGGAATGGGGGATGTAACTAAATGTTGGATGCAAGTGCCTTATGTGCTGGTTTTCTCTTTCAACTGCTTGGAGGGACGTCAATAGAGTCTGTAGTGGCATGATTGTTTACCAGATTTCAATATATGACTTTTTTTTTTTGGTGTTTTTGTGGCTCATCCAGCTAATCTTTGGAAGATTATAATCTTAGTTCAGACGTGGCTTGAATGCGTTTATGCTATAGGTTAGGCTGTGTTAAGCATGCTTCTTTGATAGAAAACAAACTTTTTTTCCCTGAAAACAGTTGTGACTATAAAAGGCGGGGCAGTAAGGTCTCCATCAACAACAGGGAGGCTGTTCTCTTTTGTCAACCCATTACTTGTGTTGTTAACAAAGTAAATTGAGCCTTCACGCCAAGCGTAACCTTTACCAACCAATAATGGTTTCTATTCTCTTGTAGGAACAGCTTAGATGTTCCATCAAATTCTTTGTAACGGAGGTGATCCAAGTGTGACTCATTAGATTGATCTAAAATGTTATTTGAGATATTGTGATAAAAATCTCAAATATTCAAAAAAAAAAACCGAAAAATTAAGCATTTGGAATATATAATAGGGTTGAGGTTTCTAAAGGGTTATTCGAGATATATTGATAAAAATCTCAAATATATCAAAAGCAACGCTCTAAAAAATTACGTATTTGGAACGTAAAAGAGCAATGTTATGTAACTTAAATTTGCATCTCAAATGAAGGAGGATTATTGGATCAGTAGGTCTTATTTAAAAAAGTTGATAGAGTTCACTCATCCAATGATTTTCCCTTTATTTGGAATACAAATTTGAGTTATATAGTATTTCTTAATATAAAATAAGGTTAAAAGTTCAATTGTCAAGAGACTTCATTTAATAATTTAATTGAAATAGATTGTGTAATTCGGGTGAATTATATAGTTAATTAGACCACCAATAATTTGCATTAGGCAACAAGAGCTTTAGTGGTCTAGCAGTAATGAATATTGATATCATCACATCATATAGCCACAATAGATAGCCAAAAAAATTTCCAAGTAAAAGTAGACTTTGCACAAAAAAGTTTCATTCAAATTACTAGTGAATAATTTTAGCCCGGAGTAAAGGAGGGGTCGAAATAAAGTGTAAATAGGTTCCTATTAATTAAATCTATAGATCACTCCAGTGATTATTTGGACTTGTTAATTGTTATGATTAAACTTATTGGGAATTAGTCTACGTATCAATTTCGTCAAGTAATTGTAGACAACCGACGGACAAAGCCATAACCTCAAAAAACGTAGTTAGCAGTTAACTTTTATTCCAGTTGGCACGACGTCGTATTTCTTGTGCACTAACGGGCGCCGGATAAGAATATCCTAAAATGCGCACGCGTGGTGCACATATCGTCTGAGCTGGCACATGCTGCGATACCCCTCGGCGATCCACCACCAAGAACTCCAACTCACCGCGTCCTCTCTCTATCTCACACACACACACACACACACGATCTGCTGAATCCAAACTGTACAAATCTCTCTCTGCTTCTCCAAAGCCATTTTTGTGACTTGGAATTCCGATTACGGCTAGGGATTGGGTTAGAGCTGTTTCCATGTTGACTAACGGAGGAGGAGGCCGATTCTATTGGGTTCGAAAGGATGAGTCGAGCTCAAAGGTCAAAGGAATCGTCGTAATATTCGCTTGGGTTTCAGTTCAAGAGAGTCACTTGAAGAATTACGTGAATCTCTATTCATCTCTTGGATGGAACTCTCTTGTTTGTCTCTCCGATTTTCTCAATCCGTACGTCAAATTTCTCTCGAATTAAGCTTTTATATGTTTGTGTATGTTTATATATAAATATATACTCTGTTACCACTGCAATAACTAGTTTAAGCTTTTATGAGTGTTGAATTAGGGGAAAATTGTTATGGTCAATCAGTTTTTGCCTGTGTGTGGACCAGGATTTTTGAGCTATTTTTCACTTTTACTAGTAGAGTACACGCAATTTTACTGAGAGTCTCATAATCGGGTGGGTTAGAGTGGGAAAATGAAGGGGACAAAAAGGTTTCTTTGAGCAAATTTAGAGGAGGTTCTGAACTGGGTGATTTTGTCTGAAGATGAAATTGGTTTTAGTAGATGGTGTGGGAAAATTAGGTTGTGGGTGACTTGTAGTTGTAGGGATGTGACTGGGAGCTTCCTGGGATGCATGCATGGCGTGAATATGTGGAATGTTTTGGAGCTTTGGGGAAATGAATTCATGTTTTGAAGTCATAAGAATTATTTGGATGAAAATGGTGGATCGTTGTGGAACCAAGCTTGATCACAGGGGAACAATTCTTGGCGACTTATTAGTTGACAGTAGGAAAGGCCTCCTCCTGTCATTACCTGAGAAAACCTGGGTGGTTTGCAGAGACTAATGAAGTAGTTGAATGCAAGGTTCCGATATGTTGAAAAATCTCTGCTTATTTTAAAAATGCCTTCTTTACTGGACAGCAGTTCAAAGAAAGATCCTTACCTGTTACCAATCAGTAATTATTGTAATAGTATATCTGTTACTCCATAAAATCTACTTCCAATGAGTAGTTGAATGAAGGTGTGTGGAGAGATATATGCAACAAGAATATTAAATATAGATTCGAGAGGAACTCTTTTGTGAAATGTTCAAGGTATCAAGAATTGGTAAATGGACTCAATGAACTGGTTGTAGGCATTTGAAATAGATGGTCAATAGGTTTCACACTGATTTTTATGTGGCTCAACTTGAAAAGTGGCTGAAGTATAAGAGAATGACCTAGAAAAACATGGGTTGGCTGTGGGAAACAAGCATTATGGTGCACACTGAAATGGATATGCCCTAAATAGAGCCAAATTCATCATTCAAGTGGCTTGGGCAAACCTTTGTTGAGCTGATTTGAGTTGTTTGTTGCTAGTTCTATAATTTTGTTTGATTTCTTATATGTTCATATGTTGCTCTGTGATAATTATTGGCTCAAATTTCTTGTGATTAATGGTTTCAAAGTTACATGATAAGTTTGTATAGCTTGTATGATCAAGTATAAGGTTAACTCTGCACAAATTCAACTGCGAGACTTCATGCATAATTTCATTTGCTTGGCTTGCAGGGTTGAGGTCTTTCATGGATTTATACTTCACCCGATTTTGAACTGATCCACTTCTTATTTCTCTTCCTTTTTGGTTGCTCCTTGTTGAAAGCAGAAATTGCTATTGCAATTTTTCCTTTCTTGTCTTCATTAGGTATTATTGGGCAAATTTTAAGATTGTGTAAATTATTTGTGTAGATTCTTTCCTGAGAGGGCCACATCGCTTGCATTTTCTCTTCTAAATGAGCTTGTCGAGGTTAGTGTTATTAAACTCACAACTTATGTCGAGTTGAAATAGTTTTGCTTAAATTAGCACCAGCTTTGCATATCCAACATTCCACCATATCCATGTTTTGTCCTTAATCGAGGGGATAAACAAAGAGTGGTCTGAGTTTATCCTCCCTATGAAGAAGATCTGAACTTCAATTACATGATGCAAAAGAATAATACAATATCATGCAAAGGACTGAAGAGTGCCATCAAACAATTTGATGTTGTACTATGTGCAACTTGAGAGAGATTAGTCACTTCTGCAGCTTTGATTTTATTCATACTGCCTCATGGACTAAATATTCATTGTGTTTGTTGATGTAGGAGCTAAGGAGTAGGCCTTGTCCTTTAGTTCTTGCAGCCTATTCTGGTGGCTCAAAGGCTTGTTTGTATAAGGTTTTTCAGGTAAGATGAAGTGCAACTACATGTGTGCAATCCATTTGTATTGGAATGTTGAATGCTTTTATTTCAAGTACGGCAATTAATATTTCTTTTGATTATCACAATTAATATTAATTTTTCTTCACTTGATGCAGATTATTGAAGGAGCTTGTGAAGCACAGCTCAATCTGGTATCGTTGTTGCCTGACTGTGCTTAAGATTTTGTGAATCAATGCATATTTTTGAGTTGCATCACATTCTAATATCAATCTGGTGAATGCCAAAAGTTTTTACTTTGGGTAATGGTTAGCAGCACTTTCCTTTTCGTTTCTCATTTCTTTTATTGTGAAGGATGATAGACGATTGGTTACAAACTGCATCTCTGGGCAAATCTACGATTCTAGTCCAGTTGATTTTACTGGTGACTCGGGTGCCCGATTCTCTCTACACCCCACCATTCTCCGAATGCCTGGCTCAGCAAAACTAGTGTCATCAGTGGCAAAAGTTGTTGCTTCTGGTCTGGATGCCCTATTCCTAACTAGATTTGGGTCCCAGCATTCTGAGTATTGGCAGGCTCTTTACTCCTCAGTAGTAAGTTTCTGGTGTGACAGTAACCTCCCAGAGATATAATTTTTGCATTACTTTAATTGGACATTCACCTTGTGCTTTCTTTTTGTAGAGTTTGGGTGCTCCGTTTCTCATTTTATGCTCAGAGAATGATGACCTCGCTCCAGTCTCCACCGTATGCAGTTTTGCTCAGCGTTTGCAAGACCTGGGTGGACATGTTAAACTTGTGAAATGGAATGGCTCCTCTCATGTAGGTTAGTCCTATTTTTCTTCCTGCTTACCATTTCCACATGTTACAATGTTGTGTTTGGTTTGGTGTTTGCCAATAGGCCTACAAATTTTATGATACTAACTAACTACTACTAAAGTATTCAAAACTCATTACCAAAAAGGAAAAAAAAAATAAGTTATTGAAGTTGAATCGGCACAAGAATAACATATGGCAGGTAACTGTTAGATGGTTGTTTTCTCATGGAAGCCCATGTTCTGCCTACTCTGAAACTGATTCTTTTTCCATCTTCTAATCATGTCTAATTCTTGTTCTAGTAATGTGGGATCAATACATGTGTGAGAGCTATACGTCTTGGCTCGTCTTCTAAAACTTTGCCCTTTTGGAGATGGCGTGTGGGTAGAACTTAGGTGGTGTTTGTTTGTCTGTGTCTATCCACTGTGATCGAAATGTTCAATCCTTGGATCCAAGTTTTCCTGCCGTTTTAAATGTTTCCATTCTGTTTCAAATGAAAGACTAGGACTAAATATAGTTGTGCTTTATGCTTATGGTGAATATTTTATTTTGGAATGTGCCACAACAATTCTATAAACCCATAAGTTTCTGCTCATCTAGTTTACACTCTCTTTAGTATAGCCCATCTTATGGTCAGTCCTGCTGCAAACCAGTGTTGTCTCCAACATATATGACTAGAGAAATCGAGGTCCGAGGACCTATTAGTCTTAGTTTGATGCTTGTATGTAAGGTTGGTACTTATGGACGAGGACGGAGCTAGGATTTTTCCTTTAGGGGGACCAAATGGTGATGTAATTGAATATTTTTCTTCAATTGGGAATCATTCACTAAGCTATTGCTAATATTACATCTCTAGACCAACAGGCCTTTGGTCCAATGGTACTCTTGGCCTTTTTGAGGTCAAGGATTCAAGTCTCCCCCTTCTTAAAAAAAATATATATATATTACATCTCTAGTAGGGTAAAATCTATCAAGATCCTTTTTTTCATTATACATCGTAGTATTATTTTTTTTCGATAATTAGAGAAGTTTAATTCAAACTTGTCAAGTTTATTAGATGTAGAACATGATTAATTCAAATAATCAATAATTGATGGCAATTTTATCCCATAATCCTTTGAGAACAACTAAAATTTATCTTGTCTTTGCAAATTATAAAAAGAATAACAAAAATAAATAGAGTGTACAGGTGTTTCAATACATATTTTACTCATGAAACTATGACCTCAATTTCACTTCATCCATTGGCAATCGATTGATATATATATATTGCACCAATAATCATTCAATGGTGTGATATTTTGTTCAAATTGTTAAATCTGATATTGTACAAGTCGTTAAATAAAAAAAAATCTCTGAGACTATTTTAAATGGTTAATGGGTAAAAAATTGAAGTATAGTTTTGAAAACTTGAGAGGTCTTATAAAATCAAAAAAAATAAAAAACTTAATATGGAGGCTATTTTAAGGGAATAAACATGATTTTAGTAACTTTAGGGATGCCATGGCCGTCTTGGCCGTAACATGGCTCTGCCGCCCATGCCTATGGAGGATATCCTCTATCATTTTTATCAATTGAAAAAAGGATATCCTTTAGCATACTGATATTTTGGGCAAGACTTTTCTCTGGGTTTTTGTAAATCACGTGTTCTTTCTCATTTTAACCATGCATCTGTGCAATATTCTTGTCATCTCTGAACTAAGCTCATGATGTTTGCACATTGCTGCAGCTCATTACAAGCATTATCCGATTCAGTATAGAGCTGCCATGACTGATCTGCTTGAGCAGGCAATTTTAGTTTTCTCCCAGAAAATGAAAGTACTTGGAGAAAGAACTTGCATGGAAGGTTTGCATGATGAAATGTGTGACTTGATTTGTGACCTACAGAATGCAGCAGTTGACTCGAACCAGAGCCTTAGAAGAGTTGCACAAGGGCCAAATGACCACTTTTTCTTGCCAAGTTCCGCAGATCATCAAAATGTTAGAGACTCTGGATCTTTACAAGATGATCGGAAAGAGAGATCCACCTATTCGCCAAACCTGCCAAATATAAGTGCGCATAGTATTCTTGGTGAAATTCTCTTTGATGCTTGTGTTCCCAAGAATATTGAAGGGTGGGATATCAAATTCTCTGGTTCATTGAATGGGCACCCATTTGCTTCTGCTCGTAAGCATTCCCCTCTAAATGCCATCAAATGCATTCGCCGCTCAAGGTTATGAAACTTGTTATAACTGTGGGTAATCTTGGAAATCAATTGACAAGGATGGATCGGGTGCTTCTGTGCTAAATTAAATCCCAAATATTGCCTCCAAGATGCTGAAGAAAATTAACCAATGATAGGAGATTTTTGACTGCTTTGATGGTTCGAGTTTGTGGCATCAAGTGTACAGGTAGAATGAAGAAACATTGTATGTGCAGAGAGTGATGTGTGTGTTTGAAGGATGTTCATCCCTTAATCCGTTGATCTGACGGGCTACAAGTAGTTTACGTTGTAAGGTATTAGTAATCGATGAGTATGTTATGGTGTACAGTCATCGTATCCGAAAGAAGTGAGTAGATCAGTGTTGGACTTCTGCATAAATATGGTTGTTGATAAGAGTGTGTTGGCTACGGGAAATGTTGTACAGTAGCGCCTGCCAAGGATCTCTACCCCCTTCCTTGCTTTTTTCTCTCTCTCTCTTGTGCTGTAAAATCTTATTTCTTATCTACTGTGGATATTGTACTGTTTATGTTAATTATGAAGTAGAATTAACGGTCAATAGTAACCTGTGTCTTAACCTGGTGTATGTGAGGCTACTAAGAAGTAGATGTAATAGTTGGATGGATATCACCACCAACCGCCCTCATTTAACTTGAAGTGCTAACAGCCAATTAGGATGAGCTGCAAATTTAGTTTAGACGTCTGGAATTCGAATTTTGACAATTAAGTATTTATTTCTTATGAATATTTTAATTCTAACGTAGATGATTTGTCTTTGACTAGACCAGAGAAAAAATTAGTTGAGGTATGTAGAAGTTGGTCTAGACATTGTTGACAATGCTTGTTTCAAATTTGGATGCCTCAGATAATTCTGAATGTCTATGAAAGTTGAATCTCAAAGCGAAAAATCAAGGCTATTTTTTTTAGTTGATCAGTGAATCAAGAAACTCTCTTTTATGATAAAAAAAAATTGGTTATACTTTGAATTTCCTTGTAATAATAACCATTTGAATGAAATTTGGAGTAACTTCAAATTTTGGCTCCAAGACTCATTTCGGCGTTTACCTTCTCCAAGACAATGGTATGGTCTGACAACCCCATCACGTCCCTCTTTTTTTGCAAACAAGCCAAACCAAACCTATGCAACTTTTAAACCAAACGGTCCATTTTTAAACCTTTCTTCAACTCTTCTTTTAGCTCTCTCTCTCTCTCTCTCAGATACACTTGGCTACTGCTCCGGTGCCTCTCTCTAGGCGAGGCCCAGCTCAGTCTCCTTCTAAGGTTCTCTCTCTCTCTCTCTCTCCCCAGACATGTGGTTATATGTGCTGATTCTGTAAATATGTTTGGCTTACTTCATTGGCAGATGAAGCAAAGGAAGGCTTTGGAGATCAAGAAAAAGCTGTTGTGCCGAAGGCCAATGGGTCTAAAAGATACAAAGTCCAAGACAGTGAGTACATCTATCTGGGTGCAAATGATGAAAACCACTGTTTTTTCTTTTCCCATGAAAACCACAAAAGTAACCATTACACTGAAATTACTGTTCCTTTCTTTTAATCTTGTTGAATGCTGCTTTGATATATTGTTTCAGCTCTTGGAAGTTGGAGGGAAATGAAAAGCATCCTTCTCCGTTATTGTTCTTTTTGCCTTTTTCTGATTTTATGTATTGTTCTTTTTTTTTTTTTTACCAAAGCTCTTTGTTCATGCCTTGAATTTTGAGGTTGGTCAAAGTTAGGAAGTTAAATTAATGTCCTAGCGTGTATTTGTATGGACGCATTGTCACCCTCAATGATATCTAGAAGTTAAAAGGAAAATATTTTAGGCAAACAACTAATACATTAGATATTGATAACAACAAATTTTAGTAAGCATTGTGGTTTTTGTCTAAAAGTGAAAATGAAAAGGGATGGACATATGTTCTAAGTATTGCTTTCAGGAGTTTGCGAAAAGATTGGTTTTTCAATTGTCCAACACAAGTCTTAAGTCAAAAGAGTGTAATTTCTTAGAATTCTAATTCTCTTGGTTTTGGGGCAAAAAAAAAAATGAATACCAGTAATTGGATCTAATTACTGATACAATACGCTCGCTAACCTAGTTTACTGCTTTTGTTGGATTAGTGATGGGTCTTAGTATTGGATGGGGTGCAACAAACCAATGTTGTAGATTGAATTAGCAAATAGGGAAAATTGTGCTTATCTTGCCTATGGTGATGTTGTTTACTGTTTCTTTTGTATGTAGACATTTTTTGGGACTAGATCTGACTGTTCTGTGTACCACTGTGCCATTTAACTTCCCTATCCTTCATCAGTGACATGAATGGATATGTTTCCTTCTTGGTTACGAATTACAAAATAATAAGAAATATCTTGTGAATTATTCAGCAGGTAGGAATGGATAATGCCAAGAAGAAGTCCATAATTTGGTCAGTTGATAATACATGAATGGCTGTGTCATTCTTTTTTACATGTTTCTCCACATATTAGTTTCTAAACATGCTTATCCAATTCCATTCAGCTATGAACGGAACATGGCGATGACAAGTGACCCTTATGATTGTGGCGAAGCCAAGTCCTCTGCTATGGAGCGAGCCCAAGAGGTTCAAGCAAATTTACCTTCCAAATTCCCTAGCCTTGTGAAGTCTATGCTTCCTTCACATGTCACTGGTGGGTTTTGGCTGGTAAGCCCAAAATTCTATCCATGTTATTGCCAAGATTTCAAGTACAAAGCTAATGTGATTGTGCTACTTTATCTGATGAAAGGGCCTTCCCAAGCATTTCTGCAATCAACATTTGCCAAAGGTTGATGACATTGTTGTTTTGATGGATGAAAATGAACAAGCCTACAAAACAAAGTATCTTGTTCGTAAGAATGGATTAAGTGGCGGGTGGAAGGGGTTCTCTGTTGCCCACAAATTGCTTGAAGGGGATGTTTTAGTTTTCCAGTTAATTGAAGCTTGCAAATTTAAGGTAACTTTGTAGCAAACTTACTTGATATTCACACATAACTTTGTCTTCACAATCTCTGCCCGGTTTTGCATGCTCAAGATTTATGACATAATCACAGCATATGCAGACCATTTCTTCTTTCCAATCCACACCATTCTTAATATATTTCCTCTTGCACTTTATTGAATCAGTTTGTCACGACTCACATATAACCACAATTCATATTTATTTATGTCTTTAATTCTGTATATAGGATGCTCAATACGAGACAGAACTCATACAACTGGTTCTATGCATGATGTAATATTAATTTGGTCAATGCCTGGAAGAAGTTATATATATGATTTATAACCCAACTTTGGTTCAGTGATATCCAAACAATACTTATAGAGGATACCAGTGGTTTTTTTAGTATCATGTTTTAGAGCTCATGATCCCTTCTAAGAAGGTAAAGAGTAATAAAATCTTAATAGTATCACAAATCAAGTCATCAAAGTAAAGTAAGACCAGAAAGGAGATTTCAATTCCATTAGTAAATTCATCAGATTGCTGTGATTAATATATTCTGAAGTTTCTAGGTGTATTTGTTGCCAACATACGTAACTTAGAAATTGAATGAAATAGCTTGCTTTTTGTAGTTGCCAAGTTGGAAAATCTTTCACCTAATCACTTGAAAAGTGACATAATGCTCAACACTCGATGGAAGAAGGGGGGGTGGGAATGTGAGTGATTTAGAATGCTTTTTTAAGCAAATATATCTTCGTTGGTGCTTCAAGAGACGGGGATTCATCTGCTCCCTTGCATGTTGCTTTTGTAGTATGATTCCAAAATTTTTACTGCCTGAAGCTGTTTATCGACTTAGTGTTTGAATTTTACTTGATTGGCCAATATTCCATTTTTTATAGGTATACATTGTACGAGTAAATGGTTTAGCGGAAATTGATGGGGCTATTGGCCTTCTAACTTTAGATGCTCATTCCCAATCAATAAATATTGGTGAGTCTCAACTCTCTGTCTCTCTTGATCATTATTTACAACTGCTCTTAGAAATATTTTTTGTAATCCCTTTTGTTGATTCCATTGTAGACTCAAAACTCACAGATCAACTAGAGAAGGGTAGGATTATTTCTGAAACAGTAGGTGAAAAATGTCCTGAGCCTCTTCAACTAGACAGTCATCAAGATAACATTCAAGAGAAAGGCATGATAGTCTTAGATACTGATTGTGCACCTGCAGCAGAACAGTCTGGAAATGACAGTGATGGTATAGGGTCTGAAGTATTTGATGGCACTCGATTTTCAGAATCCATTGTTGATTTCAAGGACTTAAAGAGTATTGAGGATTTCAATATTATTGTGGATGGAATAATCATAAACGCTGAGATACCGACACACCTTCAGGTCAAGTACTATGAACTCTGCTGCAGTCAAAACTTGTTTCTTCATGGCCATCTTGTCCAGGGCCTAAACTATAAGCTAGTGTCCGGGATAATTTCTGAAACTATCAACATTGCCGATGCTATCAAAGCTTGCAAACTTACCACATCTCGTGATGATCTTGAAATTTGGGACGAGACTCTAAAAGCCTTTGAGGCGTTAGGCATGGCAGTTGGATTCTTAAGGACACGTCTAAATAGGCTTTTTAGCCTTTCACATGAAACAGGGAAGGTCATAGAATCAAAAAGACTTGAACGAATGCAAGCAGAAGAAGAGATGAAAACTCTTGAAGCCAAACTTTTTAATGTGAAAGTGGGGATTCAAACTCTGGATAGTGAGATTGAGGCTCTGAAGGTGAAAGGCGAGAGTCGTGAGCTTATGTTCCGGGAAGAGGCTAATTCTCCATGGTGAAAGCTCTCTTCAAAGTTCATTTATGGTATTGGTGTATAGTTATTTTTGTGGAGTTACATTTATATCAAACAAGCAAGTGGTGTATTGAGGAAGAACTTGTTTCTGACTGCTATATCTCTGTTGTGGGTCATATTTTGAATGTATGTCACAAAGCACAAAACTCTGAACCCACCACTCCAGATTCATGTTTGAACTTATGACAATGTTTTAATATTTTCCTCTCTATTGTAAGTTATAATTTTTGGTTGTCAATTGGGGTGAAGTTGTTCTGAGTTGTTTTTCTTTTAAAGATTGATAGTTTTTGTGTAACCTATGAAGAAAGAGTGAGGCTAGACCTTAATGGAATTGTAAAATTGTTTCGTAGTAATCTGATGTGATTGTTGAAGTCCCAAAGATAACCTCTTCACATGCATCTGGCGATCTCTAAATATAGGATTTGACTATGCTACCCATTTTTATTTTTATTTTTATTTTTTGGTACCATACTATTTATCATTTTTTTTTGGATTAAGTGTTTTTTACCCTTTATGATTTCTACTGGAAGTATCTTGCCCACTTGATGTTTAAAATTATTCACCTTACCTACTATGGTTTCGGTATCTCCCTATGGTACCAAATTGTTTTTTGATTTAATAGTCAGACTTTTCCGGTTTAGCTTATGTCTATCTTGACTAATTTTTTTTTGATCTAGTCAAAGGCGTGTATTTATAAAAAATAAATCTTTCATGTCCTAACTCTAAAAAATTGTCAAAATTTGAATTCAGAATGTCTCAATTTATAGCTTGCTTCTCTTACCACTTGAACTACTATTGAAGCTCATAAAAAAAAAACTTCATTCCTATCAAGTTCTAATAAAAATAGTTAAGTTTCATTTTGTACCTAATATCGCGTCAATAAATGTGATATATTTTTTTATATGGAAATTTATTTGTTATGCACTAATTATAGTGTTCTATCGTCCTGGTGATCTTCAGTAATAGTCATCTCTTTCAACTTTTTTAGATTTGTTTAAAACTCCATCAATAATAACTAAAAGCCAATTTTACCACTTCTTAAAGACATTAATTGCAATTTTACTATTTTTTCCGTATTTGTGTACTACCAACTAGTTATATTTTTGTATAACACTTCATAAACTATCTATAATTTTTTTTTATTTATTTATCAAAAAAAAAACTATCTATAATTTTTGATTTAGATAACAACTCTTTGATATTATTCTTTGTTTGAAAAATGACTCAATTAGAACTTTTTTTTCTATAAGATACTATTAGTTAGGGATCATAGTGAACCAATTAAAAATAGGTATTCGTCTAAACCTATTCTGTTTGGATTGGAGATAGACAATATGTATTAGACAATAAATGTATATGAGAGACCATATAAACTCGTTCGAGAATAGACTGAATCTCATTCCCACTCCGCTAAACCCATCATATATATATATATACTACTTATAAATGTCAACATATTTGAAAATTTTTTGATTTCTTATTTCATCCTTAATTATTATCATAAAATCAATTATACCCACATATTTTCTTGTCTTTCATACCTACTTAACTTCCAAAATATTAGTTAGATAAACTTTATCTCTATGACTTAGTAGATAAAATTTTATCTCTATGACAATATATTCTTTCTTTTTCATTCAATTGTACAAACTCTACTAGAATTTTAATACCACATATTGGTAATTTTTAGGTGATACATATACATATATTTGTTTTTGTCTTTTCTACCTATTAGACTTCTAAAATATTTTGAATTCCTTCTTATATATATAAACTTTATCCCTATGACATTACATTCTTTTTTTTCCATTCAATTGTACAAACTCTATTAGAATTCTAATAACATATATTGATAATTTTTAGGTGATACATATACATATATTTTTTTGTCTTTTCTACTTATTAGACTTCTAAAATATTTTGATATCCTTCATTTATTTATATATGTATAACTAGATAAGATTCTAATACCACATGGGATCAAACTTTCCAACAAAGTTATCGAACAAATTTTTTCTTTCATTCATGTTAGAGTTAGAAGTTAGTCTGTCATAGTCATTTATTTGAAGTTCTATGATCTCATGCTCTTCTTTGACAAACTCAATGAAGTCAAGGTTAGAGTTTTCTGCATAATTGATGTTAGTTTATCAATTTATCTGTTTTAGTTTATTAATTCTTATGTTTACGTTAATTCCTATGTTTTGTAGCACTTAATTTTTCTTGATTTAATGTCAAACAACTTTTCTAAGAGATTGGTGTGGCAGGTCAAGAATTCGACATAATAATTGATGTTAATTTATTAATTCTTATATTTTAGTTTATTAAATTGGTGTGGCAGGTCGAGTATTCGGCATAATTGAATTTAGCTTATTAATTCTTATGTTTACGTTAAATTTTCTATGTTAATGTTTTTTTGTTTTATTACAACCTCTTGTGAATCCAATTTTTCATTGTTCATATTGCTAATATTTTAAAATTTTGTTCAAATCTCCTATAATATTGATCTAATTACTCTTAATTTTTGAATTGATGGTAAATTACAACATTTATTGAGACCAACAATCAATCCAATAATAAATAAATTAAATCAAACATTTTTTGGGTATTTTTATATGTACCATATTTTTGAGTATTTTTATCATTTATTGACTGAAATTTATCAAATTTTGAGGTTAAAAGATTAACAGCCTTTTTTCTTGGTATTTTAATTATTCACTAACCTTTACAAAAAATAATTCAATTTTATTACTTATCAACTTTGTACTTCAAATAAATTTAATAACAAATTAATGAATTAAATTTTTTTCACGTCGTGTGCATTGCTAGTATATATATATATATATATATATTACAAATAAAATAATTAAGTGAAACATACATTTGTTATACATATTATTTTTGTGAGTTTTTATGTTTAATCCATTTGTTATATAATGAGTTTTCATCTTTCTTACAAATTTATTTGTGAGGTTTTATAATTTTTTTTTATTTTTTTCTTAAAATCATAGAAATTAATTATTAGGAGCGGAGACGAGACTAACAATGATAGACGAGGGGTGGATGAATATTTTTTAAGTGAGTACGAGGAGTGGAGACTACTCCCCTTACCCCCCCCCCCCCACCCACTGTCGTCCTTAACTATTACAGGAGGTGATGCGCGAGATTCGAATCCGCAACCTTTAAGGTTCAATGCTCTGAATGATAATCATTAAACCAATCACTAATCTTAATTTGAACTAAATTTAGCTAAAAAAAATTCTATTGAATTTTTTTTTTAATTTATATATCGTTTCCACTACATAAGAAAAAACTAGAATTAAATATTAGAAATGATCGACTCAAATAGATGTTCATCACAAGCTCTTCCCCTCCTCTTCCTATTAATTAGAAGCATTCAACAACGCCACACAAGTAGAAAGAGTGAAGCTTTTAAACTAAGTTATTGTTGAAAAACTCGATAGAAGTGATTTGTCTCTTCGCCAGACAAGTAGAAAGAGTGAAGCTTTTAAACTAAGTTATTGCTGAAAAACTCGGTAGAAGTGATTTGTCTCTTCTGCCTAATGTCAGTATGTGTGAAAAAAATTTGATTTCTTATTTGATTTCTATTTAATAATGTTAAGTCAATTATACTCCACATATCTTTATTAATGTTATTATTTTTCTTTGCATGTCTTATCAAAACTTTTCTTATCATGTATCATTAAGTCTCTAGCCATTCACTCTATTTATTTCTTATGGCTTTACATCTTTAATTATAATAGTAAGTCTAATAACTTAAATTACTTTATAATACATGTATAGATTAAAAATTAGATTTAGTAAAAATTAAAATAAGAATTAATTCTTTGATACATAATTTATTTATTCAATTCAATTACACATATAATCTATATTTTTTATAAGTTAAACAAAACAAATTTTAAAAATATGTTGAGGTGCAATGCATGTCATGTATTATTAGCCTAATTTTTATAAAATTAATTATATCCTTATACCTTCATATAATTTTTGTTTTTATACATAATTTGACTTTCAAGTTTTTTGTATCTGACTTCTAAATTTTTTTAAACTCTTTTATAAGCGGTACCGTATCTGTATATATATCTATATCTGTATTAACAAGTAAATGCGAATATATATTATATTATATATAGTTATTAAAATAAAAATAATATTATTTAAATTTATTTACATTGCTAGTCTATATTATGAAGTAAAGCGAATACATATTATATTGTTCTATATATATATATATACTAGTAACTGTGCATGTATGTTAGAATGTGTGTATGTATGTGCAACTGTGTTGTGGAATGTGTCTATTGAATTTGTGAAATTTGAGGGGAAAAGTGTGTGTTGAGTGTGTGAAATTTGAGAAAAAAATATACTCCACGTAACTTCAAAAACATATATGATTTATTATATAGATATATATTTGTTATGAAATTGAATTCTAAGATCAAATACCTTTTACTAGTGTATACTATATTGTATTACTAGTGATATCCCGCGACTAAAGTCACTATATACTGAATTATAAAACTGTGCATATATTGAAATGTGTATGTTGAGGTGTGTGTGTATTTATGTGTAGATATGTGTTATGTAGTGTGAGTATTGGGTTTTTAAAATTTGGGGGAAAAAAATATGTGTTGGGTGTGTGAAATTTTGAGGGAAAAATATATCTCTCATAAATTTAAATAGCTATCTGATTTATTATATAAATTTAAAAAATTAATAATTAGTTATAACAAGAAATAAAATATACATTAATTTTTTAACACTAATTTTATTATTTAATTTAATTATATATAAAAGTTATATTTTAATAAATTAAATAAAAATTTAATTTGTTCACGTGACTCGTGCATTGTTGGTGAAAATAAAAGACGAATTTTTCCAGAAATACAAACGGTCCAACTCAGACCGCGTTCTTAGCTTCAACCCCGGTTGGGCATCTCTCTCAACTGGGGCTGGCTTTGCTCTACCTGTTTTTGTTGTTCTCTCTCTCCCTCTCTCTCTCTCTCTCTATCTCTCTCTACATATATATATATCTATTGTATATATACACATAGAAAGAAGAGAGGGGAACCTGAGACCGTCATGGAAGCTGAGAGGCTTAAGGGTAAAGTCATCATAAAGCAACGGCATGAAACTCTAGCTAATGCAAACAAGGACCAAGAAAAGCCAATGGTTGTTTCTCACAGTTCTTTCTCCAAACCTAACACCTCTGTTTCTTCATCCATGGTCACTTTCTCTCTCTATAAATATGTGTATCTGTATGTTTGAATATGCTTATGCGTCATTTTCAATAAATTTTAGTGGGTTTTTTTTTTCACACGTAGATTAAGCAGAAGTCACCACAGGAGGTCAAGAAAAGGAAGATCCCCAGAAAACCTAAAAGTCTCAACTCTAAGGCCAAGCAGGTGAGAACTTTTTCATTTTGCTAGTTGATCCATACCCACCTTAATTTTTTGTTTAATTTGTTATTTACTTTGTGATCTACTGGTTTTTGTTCACTCAAACCCTTTTCTTACAGGATGTTATTGACTTCTGTTCTAATAGATTTGCACGTGAGAGCGTATATGGAGGAACTTTGTTTCTATTTTCCTCCGGTTTCTGGGCTTTACTCTTGCAGCCATTTTTTTTTTCTGTGCTTTCTATATTTAGATCTGTTGCCAATTTAGTTTATGTTCTAGTTTTGGGTGCGGCGATTAATGTTGGATTAGATTAACATATCAAATATTTTACTGATTTGTTGGGGGTGCTTTAAATCGACATTAAACTTATGTTACTGATTTTTTTTTAACTCTTGTTGTGTTCTTGTTTGGAGTTGTTCTTATAGTTTCTCCCAAGGAGATCAAATCTCGCTGTTCTGGAAGTTTTTATATGTGATCTTTACATTACGAGTCCTTTAAGGGTGCCTTGTACATATAGAGATTTTTTCTGGGAGATGATTTATTCCAATAGCATATGCTTATTCAAGGGCCGATGCGTTGGGCTCTATGATAGACAGTTCAAGGTTTGATATCAGTCTGATCAGGGAGTTCCAGCAGCCGAATTGAGTAGACACAAATGTAGCCCCATGTACCCCATTTCTCCATTTCGGACTGACATAAATGTTAGATGTTAAAGAAAATAAGAAATGTTAAATGTGAACTGTTTTAGGCCTTGCCCTGGCTGATAGAACAAGAGCATTTTTTAACGAAAGTTCTTGTACGACATTGTTTAAAAAAAAAGACATGTTTTTACATTTGTGCTAATTGCTTCCACATCTTGTGATGACGTAAATAGACTAATGAGATTTATCTCGACTCTTCTTTTAAGTGCTATTCTGCAATTTAGGGACTAACCATGGTATGCTTGCACACGACCCAAATTTTTGAGGTGATAGTCTTTTATTGCCAAACTGCTGAAATCATGAAAAAGTGTTTTGCATTATTGAGCAGGTAGTGTCTGATAACCGGCAGAACGCTAGGTCAGTAATTTTCAATTGAATGGCATTTGGATATTTTCCTTTTCAATTAAAAGTGAATAAAGTAAGCTGATGAATTTCGAGTTCTTTTGCATTGATATAATTAAAGCTATGAACGAAAGAAGACCAGGAGGACCACGTTTGATGATTTGTATAATAGTATTGAAGCTAAGTTTACTGTGATGGAGCGAGCGGGAGTGGTGCTGGAAAATCTATCTGCTGAATCACCCAGCTTTGTTAAGTGTATGCTCCCATCAAATGTTGCCCATGGATTTTGGCTGGTAAGCCTAAAATACTCTCCCATCTTCAAGCTTCAAGAATTTGGAATATAATGGTGTGCTTATCAGAGTTATTTGTGCCAACATCTCGTGGCAGTTTCTGCCTAAGGAATTCTGCGATTATCATTTGCCAAGCCATGATACGACAGTTATTTTGGTGGATGAATTTGGAGATGAATACAAAACAAAGTATCTTCTTGAAAGACATGGACTGAGTGGTGGGTGGAGGGCATTTTCCATTGCACACAGATTACTCAAGGGAGATCTTCTGGTTTTCCATTTGGTTGGACCTTGCAAACTAAAGGTATCTGTTTGAACCTCTAATTAATATTCCAGTAGAACTTCATACTTGAATTTTCTGTCTGTTAATTGCTAGCGAAACTGGCCAAGTGTTGCGGGTCGGTGAACCGAGGGAGAATGGTTTGGGTTAGATGGGTTTTTCTTATGTCTCCCTATTTTGCTGGGAAAATAAGATACGTAATGAAATTGGGAATTCTTCATGCCTCTTGGCTTACAGTGCTGAACTTAAATAGTAAATTAAAATGACAAACTCTTCCTAAAATAAAGCTAAAATCTAGCAACAACTTTATTGGCTAATGAAGAATATCTCTTCCTAAGCCCAATCTAAAATCTAGCAAACTTATCAACTCATGGAGAAAATCTCTCCACTTGCTGATTTATTCATGCGACACTTATCACTTATTATTTTAGATAACCATGTTCTCATGCTTCCTTAAGGATTTTTTGCGTATGCAACAACTCCTCCCTCCTTTGAGTTATCCTTGTCCTCAAGGATCAATTTGGGATATCTAGCTTGCATCTCTTCAAGTTTTTCCGAAGTTTCTTCGGTAGGAGAAAGTCCCCACCAATGAATTAATACCTCCTCTTGTCGTCTCCGAATTCTTTGATCAATCACAACTTGTAGCGTGGGTGTTATTGAGTGTCCTTCATCTATGGGCAGAAGATCTGGTTGCAATTCCTTCCCATCCCCAATGCATTTCTTAAGCAACAACACATGAAAAACGAGGTGAATTTTTGACTCTTTGGGCAGCTCCAATTTGTAAGTAACAGATCCAATTTTTTGAAGCACTCAAAAAAGCCCATAGAACCGAGGGGATAACTTCAAAATTTTCCTGATGGCCACCGAAGTTTGTTGGTACGGCTGGAGCTTGAAGTAGATCCAATCTCCCACTTGAAACTCCTTATCCGTGTGGGATTTGACGTACACTTGCTTCATTTGATTTTGAGACTCTTGTAGGCGTTGTCTTAGCTCATTGATTACTTTATCACGGTCTTTCAGCTCTCGGTCCATTGCCTCCAATTTCGAAGTACCCAGAACATACGACAATAGAGTTGGTGGAAGGCGCCCATAAACAACTTCAAAAGGAGTCTATCTCGTTGAAGAATGCCAACTAGTGTTGTAGCAAAATTCAGCCCACGACATCCATTTTACCCAATCGTTGGGTTTTGAGCTAGCAAAACACTTTAAATACATCTCAATAGTCCGATTAATGGATTCAGTTTGGCCATCCTACTGTGGATGATACGAAGAGCTGAATTTGAAACTATTGCTATTTAATTGAAATAACTCTTTTCAAACTGTACTTGTGAAAGTCGGATCTCAATCACACAATCGATTGAGGCATCCCGTGTAACTTAAATACATGATAAAAAAAAAATTTGGACCACTTGATGTTGTATAAGGGTGTGAAATTGGAATAAAATGAGCATATTTCGAGAGCCGATCAACCACCACGAAGATAATGGATTTACCTTTGGACATAGGAAGCCCTTCAGTAAAATCCATTGAGATGTTTGACCAAATTTGAGTAGGGATTGACAATGGTTGTAGTAACCCTGCCGGGGCCATATTTTCGGTCTTGTGATGTTGGCAAACTTTGCAAGCTTTAACAAATTCTCTAATCGTGGTCTGCATACCCTTCCAATAAAAAATAGACCGAAGTCTATGAAGTGTCTTGTAGAGCCCTTCAGGAGTGCTATTGTGAATCTCCTTCATGATTATTGACACAAGAGTTGAATCTTCCCTTAAATAAATTCTATTTTTAAAAAATAGAATGACTTCATGAAATTTCCATGGCCCCAAAATCTCTTCTTGTTGACACAAAGTGATCAATGTTTGAAGTGCTGGGTGAGCTTCATTTTCTTCTTTGATAGGATCCAACTATCTAGATACTGTTTGACATATGACCAATAATTCTCCGAACTGCTCTCGATGAGATAAGGCATCAGCTACTAAGTTCGTTGTCCCACTTATATATTCAATAGCAAAATCATATCCCATCAACTGAGCACTCATAGTAATTTGTTGATCCCATAGATATTTTAGACTTCGATGATCCGTCCTCGCAATAAAGTGACTTCCCAATAAATAAGGACACCATTTATTGATTGTAAGAACTAGGGCGAGCATTTCTTTTTCATAAGTAGATAGGTTTAGATTTCTTCCTTGAATGGCTTGACTAAAGAAAGCAATGGGACATCGTTCTTGCATGAGAACAACCCCAATTCCTGAAACCGATGCGTCACATTCTACAACGAACCCTTTGGTGAAATCTGGAAGTGCCAAAACCGGGGACTTAGTCATAGCAACCTCTAAGTGTTCAAATGCCTCCTCTGCTGTAAAATTCCAAAAGAATGAATCTTTTTCTAGCAAGGCTGTAACTTGTAATGGGTGCTGCTATTTTTCCATAGTCCTCAATGAGTTTGCGATAATATCCCGTCAAGCCAAGAAAGCCCTACAATGCCTTTATGGTTGTAGGTTTGGGCCAATCTATGATTGCCGTTATTTTGTTAGGGTCAATCGCTACTCCTTGTGAGATAAGGTGACCCAAATATTTTATTTCAGTTGGCTGAATGAGCACTTCTCTTGATTCACAAATAATTTGCAAATTCTCAAAGTAGATAACATGTTCCCAATATTAATTAAATGTTCCTCCCAACTTTTACTATAGATTAGAATATCATCAAAGAAAACTAGAACATACTTACAAAGTTGGTCTTTGAAGATACCATTCATGGGTGCTTGAAACGCGGAGGGGCCATTTGAAAGACCGAAAGTCATTACCAAGAATTCAAAGTGCCCATGATGAGTTTTGAATGTCGTCTTCGAGATATCTGTAGGATACATCCTTATTTGGTGGTAGCTGGACCTAAGATCCTATTTGGAAAAATATCGGGCACCATATAGCTCATCCAAAAGCTCATCAATTATCGGTATTGGAAATTTATCTTTCACAATGATCCGGTTCAATGTTTGATAATCAAAACATAATCGCCACGATCCATCATGCTTTTTGACGAGTAGGACCGGGGAAGAATATGGACTAGTGCTTGGCCGAACCACTCCTGATTTCAAGAGATCATCAACTATTTTTTCAATCTCTACCTTCTGAAAATGGGGATAACAGTAGGGATGAACACATACCGGCCCACTTTCTACTAATGGAATCTTCTGGTCATGAGTCTGGAAAGGAGGTAATCCTTTTAGATCCATGAGAATGTCCATGTATCCACCCAAGACTTGGTCCAATCTTTTATCATGATGAGATGGTATAAGAGGATATGAAGGATCACTTACTGAAAGAGAGTAAAAATGCACAAGGGCTCCAAGTCCTTCTATTTTTGCTTCCTTGTCGATGTCTGCATCTCCACATACTTGTTTGCTGGAATAGGTACCCCTTGCAAATGAATATTGCAGCCTTCTAATTTGAAGCTCATCTTCATCTTGGCGAAATCCCAAACAATTGGTCCCAATGTTCGTAACCATTGCACACCCAGAACAACGTCATAGCCTTCTAGAGATAGAAGGAAAAAATCCACTTCCATGGGGACTCCTTGTAATGTTAAGTGAACACCTTGGCATTTGTTGGGGCTCACTATTTTGTCTCCATTTGCAACACTTACTTCAAGTTGACTTTCCTTTTTTTGGAAGAAGCCCAACTCTTCTAGCAACTATGTTATTCAAAAAGTTGTGGGTGCTACCAGAATCTATTAATAAAGTAAGTGTATGCTTGCGCAACTGACCTTTTACCAGCATTGATTGAGGAGCTTGAGCACCAAAAAATGGCATGAAGCGGGATCGCTGGTACCTCCTCTTCAAATTCTGCTTGTTGCTTTTCCTCTTCTCTATCCTTAAACTCATCATCGTCCTCTCTATTTGGCTACAGTCCCTCCAGGAGAAACAACTTTTTACATCGATGACCCGGTCCAAATTTTTCATCACAATTAAAACATAATCCCTTGTCTCTCCTTTCCTTGAGTTCGGATGGTGTGAGCCTTTTAATAGGAGGAAGATGGGTGGTGCTTGGTATATTTTTTGGGACTGAAGTTGTTGGTTTACCTGGGTCCGTAATCGTAGTCCGCCTTAAAGAAATATACTTAGCTTCATACAGGCAAGCCAAGCCTACAGCAACGGATAGAGAGGCCAGTCGTGATACTTGAACATCTGCACTAATAGTCTCTTTTAAGGTCAGTGACAAAACAAGCAACTTACTGTTGATTTGATATCTTCCCAGGCAAATTGGGAATAATAATCACGCACTGGACCCATTTGCTTCAACTTGGTGAGATCACCAAAGAAATTGTCAAATTGGGTAGGTCCATATTGAACATGAATTTCTTTCTTCAGAATGTCCCAAATCAAGCTTTCATATTCTTCTTTGATTAGTTGAAACCAAAGTTGAGCATCACCTTCTATATGGTAGACAGCTAATGGGACACGGTCCTCTATTGAGGTATGTTGAAATTCAAAAAATTGTTCTGCTCTATGTATCTAGCCGGTTGGATCCTCACTGCCAGTGAAGCAAGGAGTTTGGCGATCTTGGGTGCAAATGGCCCATTGGTTCCTCCAAGCTTGCTCCCATGGTTGTTATTTTTGCTTGCTCCATTATGGTGATGGAAAGACTTGTCTCCTTGTTCACGACTACGATCAGGTATGAATTGGTCCAACCGAGCATTCATAGCAAGAAACATGTCTTGCATCTCTTTCGTCATCTGTCATGTCCCAAACTCAAAGATCAAACCACAGATTCAACATGGCTGATTCTTTGCTCGTCCATTTCTGATTCTGATACAAGTTGTTTTGTGCTAGCCAAATTATCCGTATTATGGGTCAGTGAACCGAGGGAGAATGATTTGGGTTAGATGGGTTTTTCTTATGTCTCCCTATTTTGCTGGTAAAATTAGATTCTGAATGAAATTAGGAATTAAAAAGAGTCTGGTTTGCTTCGAGGGAAACAGATACCTTCAAGAGAGACTTGAATTCAATGATAAATTCTTCATGCCTCTTGGCTTACAGAGCTGAACTTAAATAGAAAATAAAAATAACAAACTCTTCCTAAAATCAAGCTAAAATCTAGCAACAACTTTATCAGCTAATGAAGAGTATCTCTTCCTAAACCCAATCTAAAATCTAGCAAACTTATCAACTCATGGAGAAAATCTCTCCACTTGCTGATTTATTCATGTGACACTTATCACTTATTTGGATAGGACTTTTTGCATATGCAAACTGTTATTCTTGCCTTCAGTACCGGGCTATTTAATTTGTGGAGAGTAGAATGGAATGTCTAGGAACAGGCATCAGCACCTTGAAAAGAATTAAGATTGCTGTGCCCAGCAAATTTTTTCAGCTAGGGAGTTGAAGTAGTGCTTGGTGTGTACTTTGGAAAGTATAAGACGTGAGCCTGCCTCATTGAAAATCCGCTTTCTTGCTGAAGTGTCTCTTCATTTGTCTCTTATACATGAAAACAGTCTGATGTATCCCCTACAGTTCTTGCAGTCTGAAGGTATTAGTTGTATTGATTATAGATTGTAAGCTTGATTATCTCGCAACCTCTTTTCTAGGTGCACATAGTGAGAGTATATGGCTTAGCAGAAGTAGATGCAGCTCTTTGCCTTATGAATTTAGATGATTATGCAAAAAGAACGGATTCTGGTAAGCCTTTTTCCTTTGGTTGCTGTGCTCTTTGCTGTTCGATAAATGGCCTCAAAAGTGGGTTTTTACTCTTCTCGTTGGTTTCCTGGGACATTGAACTTGGAAGAAAGATCACGTAAAGAAAGGTAGTAGGATGCTGAAAAAAGCAAAGAAGTGTGCAGAACCTTTCCCTTCAGACATTCCTCAACTTCAAGAGAACATTCGAAAGAATGGCCCGAGGATATCAAATACTAACCCTGGCCTTGTACCGAAACAATCTGAAAATAACAGCATTGGTTTTGGCTCACGGGTTGTGGAAGGTATGCCATTTTTAAGACCAAATTTTGTATCTCTTACATTGTACGGAATTTTGATGAATGCTGTAAATGTCTAAATGGTTTCACTGTAGGCTCTGAAGTCTCCAACGACTCCGAGAGTTCTTATTCACATGACCATCTCCTCGATGGCATGCACTGTAGATAAGCTTGCACCAGAATTTATTAGTTCATCATTGTTGGCGTGGGGATTTGGAGCATGTGAGAGCTCGCCACCTTTCCGGTTAATTTTTTGATCATGGGACAAACCTCAGAAAACATTTGGGATGTTTAAAGCTCAGATGTATCAGATTGTCATACTTGCTTTTGAATCAAACAGGGGTCCAAGAGCCGGAGGGACAGAGAAGCTATAGGAGAAAGAATTCATTAGAAAGAAATGGGAAAAGTAAAGCATTTTTCAAGTATATACGGGACAGAAGGGCTTGATGCTCAACTTGAATGATCCATAAACGCTGGCGGGGCTTGAGCTTGGACTGCACGTATACCTTCCAGTTCATATAATCAAAAAAGTTTGTATCTCTATTCTTTTTAAGTGCCCTTGTCTGCCTGCCTTGTGGATTCACAGCTTATAAATTCACATTCACAACTAAATTTTCAAGAAATTTAATGGCCTGCTTCTCTCTCTCTCTCTCTCCCCCCCCCTTTCCATGCAGAGGGGGATATATTTGTTGTTTTTAATTGGTGGGATACCGGCCGAATTTTTCATCCTGAAGTTAAAGGTTCGAGTCTTGAAATTCAAATTGGGGTTCGGTGGTTGATTATTATGCTTGCTTCGCTAGGTTTGTTCCAGAGAAAAATAATGGGCGCAGTGGGGGGTTTCATGATTCCACTAATGAGGATTTATTAGGGTAGCTTTTGAGCGCTTTTTTCTCTACCCCTTCTTTTCAATAGCCAAAAAAAAAGGGATCTTCTACAATACCAAAATGAATTGGAAAGTAGACTCCAACGTGGAAAATTGCAAATCAAACTAGCTAAAATATGACTCGATGGAGTTGAGTTAAGATTGATCCAAAAAAACTTGGGATAGATCCTTGTAAGCTGTTAGTTGATCTTGTACATAATTGAGTCATATGAGATTACAATAATACAAAAACGAATTTATCTTTCATGTTATCTTGTGTCACACGAAATCTCTCTCTCTTTGTGTGTGTGTGTGTGAGAGAGAGAGAGAGAGAGAGAGAGAGAGAGAGAGGGAGATTAATGGCATTCTTCTCCTAAAAGCAAGCTCCAAGATTCCCACATTGGACCTTTTTCGCATCTTTGATTTAGAAATGTTGTCCGTACATCATTATGGATTAAAGATAATTAATACTATGTCTCAGTGGCCCTACGTCATTTTGTTCCATTGTCTGTTGTGTTGTGTAAAGAAATGATTATATATTAATCAATGCCTTGTTGGTGTTGTGTTTACTGGTCAGCCATTACAATTGCAACAATCAAACCCACACCTTCTTGGGATGATTGTTCAAACTATTCAATACTCCTCACTAATGCTATGTTTGGTATAATGATAATGAAAAAATAGTATAATAAAAAGTTAGAAGAATGAACAATTGGATAAATAGATAAAATATCATGTTTAATAACAAACGAAAATAAGAAAGATGAAAAAGTAGATAGATGGATTTTTTTTTTCAACTCATCAAAATCAATTCTTCTAAAATAAAAAAAAATGGATAAAAATTTAATTATTTGTGTTGAAATGTATCTTATTTGACCATATATATATATATATTATGTATACATTAATTTCATATATAAATATAATGATGAAATATTTATTTAATTTTTTAAAAAAATCTAAAAATAAAATTTTAAAAATAAAAAAAAATATTTTTTCCATCTTAGATGTAAAAATTTTCGACTCAACATGATGACAAAATCGAACTTGACACGAATTTTGTGACACAAACTTGATTATAACTCGATACAAACTCGAAATTGATCTGACACACATATACGAAATATAAACGGCTCATATTCAGTTGAACTTGTCAAACCCAAAATTGACACCATCAACCCGTTTATTTAAGAATAAACATTTTCTCTATATTTTCGTTTGTATGATATTAAGAAATTAATATGTTTAACTAATATTATAGACATAAAATATTAATTATTTATAACTATTTATTAAGCACTGACATAATTATTATATAAAAAATATATTTTACTTACTATTATTATAAATAGATTATAGACCACTCAATTTTTTTTTTGAAGATTTTGGCTTTCAATTTTGGGCATCCGTGTTTGGTTCTATTATTTGGATTAGACAATTTTGTGTAATCTCCTCTCCCTTTTTAATAGTAAAATTTTATTACTGCCAGTGAATATAAGCTTTCGAATCGATCCACAAAAAATTGTGTTGTGTATATTTCTATTTCGTACCTTTTGGTTGTTTCGGTGACTTATTTTATTTGCCTCTTATGTTTTTATGTGTAAGCATATATACAGTGAAATTCTTTGAGATACTCTCTTCCTTGCACACAGACTCTTCTAAGAGCAAGTTTTCACAAATAATGGCTCCCAGAGTTTTGGTTGGTGATCTGCTTCTATTGGTTTAGTTTGTCAAAGTTGAAAAATTCACTGAGAATATAGAATGAATAACATACTAGAGATGAACTATCAATTCAGATGTTTTGAGTTTGAATTTTGACAACTCTTTACGGTCAAGTCATGAGAAATTTATCCTCCATAAATACTATAATCTCGACGACATAAATGACTTATTTTTGACCGGAGCAAAGAATAAAAAAAACAAGGGAGCCACATTACCCAGCAATATCATGCAGAGAAACATTAGAGGCCACCTTTACCCTTCAAATGTCACATCATTTTTATTTTTGTCCAAAGAATAAAATAGTAAGTGTTTGGATTTTTTCCTTCGATTGGAAAGATTCCACTCCATCTTCTGTTTACATCTGCAGTACATTAATTTTTTAAGACAAAGGTAATTATGAGTATACAGGGCTCCTAGTTTTAGATTTCAATCCCATTACCCGAACTTTTGACGTATTATTTATAAAAATAAATACTTGTCATCGTTCTTGATCAATTTCTATAATTAATTTAAAAAAATAGTTAGAAAAGTGCTATATATATATATATATCAATAATAAAATGAACAGAGATAAGAGCCACCTTCCAAGAAACAAGAGTGCATTGGCATAAATGGTCCTGTTCTCTTTGTACATTAGTACATCATCATAGCATAAACTTGTTCTATACCACCAACAGATCACCCATGTGATCTGCATGTTCACTTTTTTAACTGATTAATTATTTGCTTAATTACTTAATCTTTTGAATTAAGAAAATATTATTTCTATTATATGGTTTTTTTGTTTTCATATTTTCCTCATTAAAGACAGAGATTAAAGTGCAGGCCTAAGTGTAATATGATTTCGCCATTTTAAGCTTTAAATGTCAAGTGCAGCAAGACGAGGCTCATTACCATCAACGAACTCACTCTATAGACAACAAGGGAAAGGGAACCTCTAAGAAACTACTATGTCGCCTATCTTCAAGACTACCAGCATAGTTAGCATCTTAATAGGTTGTAAGAAATTCTAAGGGGTGGTTTAATAGTTTGGCTTGTCTTTTGATATTTTAGATATCTCAGGTCCAATATTTTCTTACACTTTTTAAGGGCTAGTTACCATTATCCTTTTGGGGACATGCTCTAGACTAGTTCAAACCATGGTGGCTAATCGTTAAGCTCAAAAAAGTAATCGGTGCAAGCTTAGACACCCTGTAACAAAAAAAAGAGAGAGAAAAGAATAGACTTAAAATGAAGAGAACTAGGTTAAAAGATAAGTGACCATTATAAGAAATACTCTTAACATAGTGTTAAATACATTTGATAGCAGATCCAATGCACAGTAGTAAGAGAGTATATATATTACTCCATTACTTTCTTCATTACTCTTTCACTCTCTCATCCTTATTTTCTCTGTATCTCTCTCTCTCTCTCATATTGATAATTTTTTTTAAATATGTAAAGATTTAATTTAATTTTTTCATCTCTCTCCCTATTCTCTCTCTCCCCTTATTTCCTTATTCTCTCTCTTTTTCTCTCTCCTTATATCAATGTTACACAACACAATTACATTAATCAGTTGCATCAATTAGTTACAATTACCCTATAATACACTAAACAGTTATTCATGTGTTTTAATAAACCAAACAGTTACACTAAACAATTATACGAAATTACAACACTAACCTAATTTGTCATTTACATAAATTAAAGAGTTACACCATTTAGTATCACGATATGATTACACCAATTATATACACCAAATTTGGTATATCATTACACAAAAAACTTTATCATTATACTAAATTTGATATATATGATTGATGTAATGATGTCGCGATACTAAATAGTGCAACTATTTAGTTTATGTAAATAATTGAATGATAAATTGAGTTGGTGTTATAAATTTGTGTAATTGTTTGGTGTATTATAAGACAATTGTAACTGATTGATGTAACTGATTAGTGTAATTGTGTTGATGTAATGCTGATATAAATACAGAGAGAGAGAGAAAGAGTGAGATAAAGAAATAGTTAGAGAAAATAGGGGGAGAGAAAGAGAGAAAATAGGGGAGAGAGATGAAAAAATAAATCAAAATTTTAAATAGTTAAAAAGAAAATAAATTATTAATGATAGGTATAGAGAGAAAATAGTGGATAAATGAGGAAAGTAATGGAGAAAGATAGAGAGATGGAGAGAAAATAGGAGAGAGATAGTGAGAGAGTCTAATGAAATCTTTACATATTTGACTAGATATATAAATGTCAATCAAGAATGCATAATTTAAGGGAGGGTATTTAGGTAAAACAGTTTTGATTTCATTTGAATTTTGTACCTAAACATAATATGTTTTATTAAAATTGAACTTAATAGAGGAAATAAATTATACATATATTTTTCCTCAAATAAGTCTAAAAAATTGTACCCACAGCCAAAAATCAAATAATTTTTAGAAAGTCCCATAATTTTAAATACATAATTAGTCCATATAAAAAATTTAAATCTATAATTTAAGTCTAATCAAAAAATTATAATTTCAATAATTTGAATTTACAATTCAATTCAAACTCAAAAAATCAAAAATTTTAAAAACAAATAAAAAAAATACTCAAAAGTCAACTCATATTTACTCACCTCCATTCTCTCTTTCTTAAAAAACAAAAATAAAGTATCACATGCTCTTCTCTCACTTAAAAAAATTTAATTTTTTTTTTTACTAAAATAAAAATATCTCATTTAGTATTACCGTTTTAAAGTTCAATTACTTTGAGTCGACCCTGCAACCGAACACCATATACCTTTGCTCGACAACATCAGCGCCTTTGACATGTCTTCGTCACCGTACAAACGCAGCGGCCTAAGCAGCAACATTGCCAGTGCCAAATCCTGTGAGAAATGTGGCAAAATGATAAGAAACATGGCCTGATAATGATTAAATTTCAAACTTTTTCATGCATAATTCAATGTTTTAAGCATGATTAAATTATATTTACCCCTTGAACTAATACTTTTATTTTATTTTATATCTTTAATTATATAATTTCTCACATTACACTC